CTTTGTCGTAGTTTCTCTATAGCTTCCACTATTAGTGTAATGATACTTGACATATGCTCGATATGTTGGAGGCCCAAAGACTTAAAAACCAACTCCCCTAAAAGTATTATTGAAAGATTAGGACTAAACCATGTGGGATTGGTTTAGAAATATTACACAGGAGCATGCGCAATCGGTATGGGCCTCAAATTTGGAGCGTTTAAACCACTGAAAAAGGCTGTTGCACACACAGTCAAAAACGACTTTCTACAATCAAGAAAACCACACTATGGCTTTTTTTATAGAAAGGAAAAATTTCTCCTGCTAGGGGAGAGAACGAAATGGGTAGGCACTAAATAAGGCTTTATTAGTAGGCAGGAGAAATATCGGGTTGCTCCTGCTAGGGGAGCTGAGGAAAAGGGGTAGACACTAACCAATGACTTTTCTTGCAACGTTCAGTCTTTCTTCGTTGAAAAACGGTAGAAGTTCAGCACGAACTTTGTCTGTGCATTCCTATGATAAACAATGAAGTTAATCCAAACACACCACAGCCAACTAGCGTAAAGTATCGACGTAATCCAAGCTTTTATATAAACGCTGGAAAAAATCGCGCACTTTTAGAGGTTGTAAATTTGACTGGAAATATGATGTTGATGTCCAAAATAATGTAAATTTGATGAAAATGATTAACCTCAGGTTGACATAATTTGGACACTTACATAATATTTACATCACATTTACAACCTGCGCAATTTTTTTCAAATTATTAGGCGTACGTGGCATACAATGCGTAAACGTGTGCGCTGCAATTAATCCGGAGAGATTAAGTAGCTTCTGTGTACTGGTTCCTGACCAGTTCCCTTCCTCACCTCTAGATAATCCACTAGACGAGACCACGTGGTAAGTTTCTTGGTATCAAAGTACAACTCTGGTGGTGGAATGTTATCGGGAACGTATAACCATTCCGTCTCCACTGATAATAAAACAAACGTTTATTTTAGCAGCTCTTCCAGGAACTCTTTAGGAGGTTTTTAGGAGCTTCCTTTGTAAAGCGAGTGAGGTATAGGCAAGTCCCCTTCTCATTTTTATATTATCACAGGAAACTCATAATCATGGTAGAAAAACCCAACATAGTGATCTAAGTGTGAAAGTTATCGGCCTAGCCAACTATGATCCTTCACGCGCTTCTCACTCGAAACCACGGTGCATCACGGTTAAGTTTGCTATTTCAAAAGCTTATTTTTAACATCCGAAATTGGAAAACAAACGCATATTTTAGCATTGTTCAAATTTCAATAAGTCTACATAATCGTTTATGAAACAGTGGAGAGTAATATACCTTTGGAGAAAGAACCGGTCATACCAGTTGGACAGGATATCTGCATGTCAGTAAGGAGACCAAGTTGTACTAGCAAGTCCATGCCAGGTTCTAAAAAGACAAACAAGGAAATTCTTACTTCCCCTGAAGACGTTATGAGTAACGTCTGCTTAATGAAGCGATAAATTACATTCCCTTTATTTCTGCGTCAACATCGACAAACTAGGCAACAAGTCATGATGGATGTTCTTGTAAAAACTATTCATTTTCCAACTGTGAAACMTGTTCGGCTTCTCTTTGCCTGCATAGCTCACAGTTAAAATCAGAAGTSATCATTACAAAGACAATTGTTGCTGAAAAAGAAAATAGTTTTCAAATACCTGTCTCGGTTAGTGGTATAAAGATATCAATATGTCCGCCATCTGATCGAGGGATGACGCTTGTTGCCAGTGTTTCCCAAAATGCTTTCATGTTTGGTTCTTGGAGACTTTCATCTGATACCATTTGACCTAGCGACACGATATAAAAAATATCATAAATTGCATGGATGATTTTAACATGTTTTAAATACAAACTCCAAGATTCCCATCATGACTTACCTTGTATCAGTCGAATATATCCTCCTTGTCCAAGACAAAACAAACCAATACTCCTATGGAATGAAGGTAATAGTAAGAATAAAAACAACTCCCTACCCTCCCTGTGAAGATATAAGGTCAGACCAGTTATTGTAGACCTTGCTTGTTTGTGTGCTTGTTTGTTTTTAAAATATGTTTTCATTACCTTGCCTGTCGACCCATCAATGTCATCTTAACTTTCTCTTGAAGAGTCTCAATCGTAGTAGACTCGTATTGGTAGGGTATAACAACAACACCAAGTAACACTGCTTCTAAAAGAACCTGATGCAAGAAAATATTAAAAATAAAAATAATTAAAATGACAACATAAGGCACTTATTATTTGAATAAGGCACTTATTATTTGAACAAGTAGATTCATTTAATTCTGACATATTTCAAAGTCTTTAGCGGAAACCAAAATACAACAGTAAAATCTGATATTTCTACCGTTTTATCYCCGCAAACAAATGAAGTAAAGCTGCATTGTAGGATAGTGTGAAATAGAAAGATAAATGTGTTTTCTTACCTCGCACGCAGGTAATTCAGACGATATGAGGAGAACGGAAGGATTTGAGTTCCATTGATTGCTGCTGCCCTGAAACTAGAGCAAAACTCACCGCATGACATATACATATCCAACACACAAAAAAATGTTTTTTTTTCTTATAAAGTACATAAACAAACATATAAATACACATGAATTATTTAAGTACGCTGCAAGCCGACTAAACAGTAGTTGCAGTTGCACTAGTGTTCTATAGGAAAAAAAAACATGCAAAGACTCATGTTGCTATTAAACWTTGTCGTCGTTGAGACCACCTTTCTTTTTGTTTACAATCTCTGTAAACTTTTCAACTTTTCCAGTGTACCTTTGTAGGTAAAGTGCATGTTTTTTTAAATTATCTACCCCCAGGTTGTTGCCACACCATCTTTCCCCCCCTTTGATTCTAAAGTCCTCGCTATTTCAGTAGGGATTGAAACAACAGCAGCGATAATATGACTGAATATTAATCTTTATAGGCCATACCTTCGACCATCGACCTGCTTCCAGTACAGAATCGTGAAAGCTTGGATGAAAACCGATGGTCACGTCTTTTCTAAATAGCGAAATATAGTGTARATTAGACAATAGAAAACAAAGAAATTCGTATGATTTGGTACAACAATTAAGGCTTAAGCACTTTTTATTTGCTAAACTCATTTTTTGGTGGGTCTAGGTGTTCCCATTGATTCTATCGCTGCCGTCTCTCTGGCAACCAATAAAAAAGATTGTTTACTTCATTTTGTKTYCTAACTAACCTTCTCACTGGGGATGTTGGYATTGTATTTGGCCAAGGTTGGTCGACAATTCCTGGTTTCACTGGAAGTAATAGGATACATCGCATCAAACTCTATAACAAAAACAACCCTACCCTACCCCTCTAGACTTACATTCAGCTTCAACAGCGAGGGCCTCGGTCAGAGTAAGCTGYGAGGTTTCTATTGGTCGTTTATCTTCTGTGACGTCATCGACTTCGTCAACCTTACCAGCCTGAGAACAGAGAAGCCATCTTAGAAGCCATCACAGTTTTTTTAAAGGTGTTTCTTTCTCCTTTTCAGAGCATGCGCTTTAAGCAGCTTATAAGCTACTTACCGAAACGCTTCTTTTCAACGTGGTAGCCACCGCAGACCTTCCCCAGGCATCTCTTCTAGAAGGCGCGGTTAGCGACCTGTGATGTCCTCTCAGTCCCAGTCTCTCAGCCCGAGTGGTATCCAAGGAGACGGACTGGTTGGGGTTATAATCAGCTAGTAAAGCTTTCCTCGCATCGTCTAGGTCTTTAGGGTTTGTATCCGTGTCCAGCCATGGTGGTCTCCTTACTTTATCTAGTAGAAAATAGCACATGTCAATTAAGAGAATGCAACAAATACAAACAAATATTCGAAGAAAGAAATTTTTCGACGATTAGCGTATAGTTTTCATTTTAACGTTTCCATTTTCACTCTTTTAAGACATGGGTTTGTGATTTCTTTGGGTTTTTTTGCATGCCTTGTTCGTTTGTTTGTTGTTGTTGTTGTTGTTGTTGTTGTTGTTGTTGTTGTTGTTGCAGTTGTTGTTGTTGTTGCTGTTTACTTTGGGGGAAGGGTGCTGTAGATACAATCCCATTTTCCAGTTTGCAGCACCCATGCAGCGGTCATCATGCATATGTCGTTTCCCATTTTTCATAAAAAAATTACTGTATTATTCATACCACTTTTAAAGTATATGATATCCTTGCTTGTACTTCTCTTATCTTCTTTCACTTTTCTGAATTTTTCGTTTTCTATTTCTGCTTCCATACGACTGTAGATGTTATCCTAGATAAGACGTTGCACAAAGACATTTGACAGTGTTTAAACAATATTTTATATCATGCGTTGAATTATAAAACCCTATTATAAAACCAATTATAAAACCTTGCGGTAAACCAGAAGTTCAAGTAATAATCTTTATGCATGTACTACTCTGATGAAAAATTATAACTATTATTATAATCATACTTGAATAAATTATATCGGTTTTAAAAAACCTAGTGGAATCGCACACTCTGACAYTTCTGAAAMGTGCCTTCTGAAATGAAAAAAATGGTCCCAGAATGAAACCTTGTGGAACACCATATAATACTRAAACGTCTGAAATATAATATCAGAAAACCATTTGTGCGTTGTTAGGACCGAAAGTATAACTATGTAAGGTCCCAAAATACAACCTTGCGGTACACCACTCGCATTAACTTCTCAAGAAATTCGAATTAAAAAAAACGRCTCAGAATAAACATTGTGGGATAACGAAAATTATAATAGCTTTGATCTGTGCACAAAATAAAAACAAAAAACAAACAAACAGACAATTGGTAGACGATAACTCACCCTTCTTTGCTGTGATGGGGGTTCTTTATCCAAAGTATGAGTACATATGATGTAATGATGCTTCCAAGATCCATATTCCCTTTCTGTAGGCGWATACGGTAAAAACCAGCCCAGTTTTAAACACTTTGGCATCCAGACTTCGTCCTGCTCGCTGATAAACTTCCAATGCCATGTGACTTGACCAGCACGAGAGAGACTTCTCGGGTCCAGRAACGAAAATATGTACATACAAAGAAAACGAGGTAGGATTTTCGTGAAGTCTGCTTTTAATATTGGTAGAGGATTACTGAAGAATTGTTCTTTGACAAACTTGTGTTGGAGTTTAGTTGACCTTTGAAGGATGTATTTTAGAAAGTTTTTTCTTTGGGCATCTGTCCACATGGAGTACTACATTTAAARTATCAAAAAGGTTGAATAAATAACACGTCAGCAAAAGAAAAATAATAATAAAAATATTTTATAAAAAAAAAATATTTTGTCTATATTTTTTCTATAATCTTGACAATTTACGCAGGTAGCCCACACTACAAAGACAATCGGACAGGATATCACAGAYCAGGGCAAAAATCAATTGCAATATTTTTCTTTTTCAGAATATATGTCGTCAGTAATAAGCAGCAATACTCTTCTAGAATCGCTTGTTACTTTAACCAAGAAACCAACTTCCTTGTCAATGAAAACCAGTTCAATGTCAGTGAAAGAAACCACTTTAATGTCATTGGAAGAAACCATTGCAATGTTGTGGTTTCGACACCGTTACAATTTCTAACTGCAACTTTAGAAAATTCAAAACAAAGAAAATATTATAATCTTCAATATTAAAAGAGCTTACCCAGTTTCCTACAAGATCAACTCTCTCTTGGTAGAGCTGAGAAAGAAGAGAATGATTTTTATTTAGAGCAAAAACTACATGTTCACAGGACAACAGCGCAGCAACAAAGTTAAAACAATTATAACTATTGTACTTCACACCTGATTATTACAGTAAGGGTTCACGACAGGAGTCCATGAACTGTTTCTTGTCTTGTATTTATCAGTACGGAACGATTTGTCTTTCCCTGTAGYAAATCCCTTAGCAGTYGCCAARCGGATTCTTCTAGCTTCGTTCGGTCCTACCAACTCGTTAGAGTTCTGCATTGACAATCTCTTCGMGTTTAGGGATCGATTTTCTCGATTTGAAGCTCTGTCTTGTGRGCTTTTGTCCATTGCTTCACTGTCCTTAYATAAACTTCATATAGAGAGCTTGTTTATCAAGCGAATTGTGCTTTTACTATGAAAGAATAGGTCTAATTGATTTAGCCATTACAGRCTTGAATTCCAAAATAACTTTGCAGAGGTCTATGGCGTCCCGTTGTCATGGTGACAGTGYCAGGGATCCCACAACTKAATYCATCACGTTTTCYCTGGAATCGCTCATGTTCATCAACATAAATTTACCAGATTATAAACAAACTAAGAATAGAACGAAGACATCACATGAAAAAACAGAAGGGGAAAAGTAACAAAATTCAACATACCGATTGTATCTGGTAATTTTATTTGGTTTCAATCATCATTTTTTTACATAATTTATTATATACACAATAATTACAGTGTAGACGAGTGTAGACAATTCCTCTAGTTATTGGTGAAAATAAACTTAAATTTATCAAGAATAGCTGCCACGAAGACAAAAAATCATCTAATTTCTGCTATAAAAATTGTAGTACCTGAAAATTATATTAGCTTAAAGCTGATGGAAAGTATTTTGAAAATAAATGTTCATCATGTCACAATTCACAAGTTAGTTTCATAAAGCATGTTTCATTAACCAAACTTTGTGACACTATTCCTGAGACATATTTGTCTACATATTTTTTGGATCTATAAACCTCTTACTATAAATATAAACTAAACAAATAAAAAATCAAATAAACTAAACAACTGTATCTCAGGTTACTCCATCAATTCTTAGTTATTGGGCTTTCTATGGTGAGTAAATAGAGGAAGAATGGAGACAAGAGGAATGASTAAAAACATGACACTCTACCCCACCTAATCAAAGYGCCAAACAGTACAGAAATGTCAAGAAGAAGTCCCACCTAACAAAGGTTTTACTTTTTTATGATACAGAAATTCTATATTTTACATGATTTATAGATGGCACACACAAATATATATACAATTGCCATCTTTGTTGTTAAATAATTAAGCAAAAATAATTGTCATTAAAAAACAAAACAAAAACATAAATTGAAATTACTTTCCAATGCAGACATCTTATGTCCTTCAGCAAACTACACAAGATGTCTGCAAGTAGAGGCTAGAATATTTGACTAGCATGACATACTAATTTCTCCTTGTATCAGACATCTTACGCCCTTCAGCAAACTACATAAGAAAGTCTACAGCTGATGTTTAGATAGGATATTACGACTAGCATGATCACTGACAGGTAATTTCCCCTTCTATCATCAATCACTGATTGGCAGGAAATAAGGTTAAAATTGCATGTCAGAAACCAATCAATCAATTTCAGAAGGATATCAAGCAACTATCAATGTGCTGATATATTTTCCATAAAAATGGGACATAATTATAATCATTTGATCTATTATTCAATATATATACATTCACTATGTTCTCTTCATTGTGCAGTTGTCATGAAAACTCGTCATTCTTTTCCCATTTCACTTGTTCATTTTCATCCAGTTGACGATTATATGGCCCACTTGAAGATGTGAATTGACCAAGTCCGCTGGACTTCAAGTGTGCTTCATGCATCATGTGAGCTCGTTTTGTTCTTGCAGACATCTCTCTTGTTGCAATTCGGGGAGCTAGGAKTGCAATATGCAAATRAAAGTCAGAAATTGAAACAAATAGWRAGAAAAARTTGAKTTTTYGATTCCACAGCTTTTTAASGATKTCAAGGAGTTCARTAGCATGAACCATACACTCTAGTAAATAGATATTTTCAGTTACATACCCCCTGGCATTGGAAGTCGAACATTCATCTTATTCATCTTAGATTCAAATTCTTCTTGCTCTTTTCTTCTGTTGTCATCCATTCCAATGACATCTCCAAACTCCCTGTCAAAGTCTGCATTATTGGTACCACCACCGCCACTACTGCCATCATTATCATTATTTGAGAATCTGTCAGAATATGAATATCCTGGTCTCCAGCTCTTTGACTCTGAAAAATAATATATGTACATCTATTAAGAAATGGTGACTGACCATTAAGGACATTTAAATTGTGAGAAACATCTGGAATCATGCATTATACCTGTCATTTAACAAATAAAAACTTTTAAGAAATGGTGAGGGACTGACCATTAAGGACATTTAAATCGTGAAAAACCTCTGGAAACATGCATTATACCTGTCATTTAACAAATAAAAACTTTGCGGGAATCTAAATGATCGCCTGGTAGTAAAAGTAATTAGTATAGAGTGATCTAAATTTATGTAAAATTTTAAATAAACATGTAGGTAGCTCTGTGGGCAATGTTTTGATAAGTAATCCATAACGTTTGTGCAGTTGTTTGCTTTGGATAAACGAATATCAATGCGATATGAAAAAACACCGTCAAARCCAAAATAATTCATTAACAAAGCCTTAAATATTTGCATTAGAAGTATGCTTTTATGCTCAAACAACTCGAAYGGTTATCAAATACCTTCGTTACTACAAAACAGCTGAACAAAACAAAAGRTTTCACAGTAGAATAAGTAACCTCTATTCATTTAGAAACGATCTAAATTAAAAACTCAACAGCTTCAATTAGGAAAATATATTAAATTAGTGATGAAACTGATAAGAARGAAAATTATAGCGTTCATCAACTTACCAAAAGTGGACTGCCCAGGTGTTTGCTGATCCTGATCGATACGCGGTTTTTTGGATAAATTCGATGAATTACCTAATGAAAAGAATTTCAAGAACGTCTTAGACAATTTAGTAATTATTAAACTAAGATTAGAAAAAATCTCTAGTAATTTTGGGYCATTGTCCTGCAAATCCCACGAGATTTTCAGATCCAAGCAACAAAAATACAAATAATTCTTGCTTGTGTATAGATTTTCAAAAAACGTATAGATCTGTAGTTATTCTRTTCCTAACCTGCGATTCCACCATGTCTTGAATAAAATGATTTCCCAGTGGTTTTGAGCGCCGTACCATTTTTTATTGACGAACTGACTTGGACATTCTTGCGAATACTCCACACGTTGTCCAAGTCAAAACCTTCAAACACGAAAAGTTTTTTTCCAAACATCAAATCAAATACCACAGCATTTAAAKCTAAAAGAAAGCTTCAAAATCTCTTACCTGGTGAAGAAGTGGTTCTTTTTTTGGTATTTATTGGCTTATTTTGCGAAGTAATGTGAAAATCATCACCRTCGTCTTGATCGCGCCATGGGTCATTTTTCTGYGCCGTTGATTTGTATAAGAATCTGTTAGTTTTTTGGCCTGAAAATTCACCACAACAAACTGTTAATACTAATYTATCATTAGRTGATCAGAAMGRAACAYTATTGGCATGAAATCGATAGTTTTACCGTCGTTGCTGTTGTTGTTTAGACGGCCATCCTTTCTCGACCCCATCTTTCTTGTTGTCAACCATATAGTAGTACCTAGTTCCCTCACGGTTACAGCCAGACTTAGGGGGAGGGGGACGGTAGTACTGAGACCAAAGAAACTTGCCGCTTTTTTCTTAAATGTAACTGTGAAAACTGCCTCTGATATCAGATTAAGATATTCTGAAATCCCTAGACTCTTGCTGTTGCTTGCGATAAAAGGATTTGGGATCAGCTGATATAAATTCAAGGCCATCTGTCTCAGTTATCAGCATTTCTTAGAAGAAGCGCGCATATGTCTTTTTCTTCAGAGGCCGGAAATTGGCAGAGCTCGGCAGCTGCGTTCCCTACTTTAAGTAAAAAAGCACTATTTTCTTATAATAATGAGCTGTTGACAAGCCAATTTGCCATTTGCTATTGAATCTGAAGTACTTTCAAGTAATGTTTCGGGCAACTAATTTCTAAACTGTTATT